TATCTATCTATCTATCTATCTATCTATCTATCTATCTATCTATCTATCTAGATGGGGTCTTGCTGTGTTGCCCAGGCTGGAATGCAGTGATGCAATCATGGCTCACTGCAGCCTTGACTGCCCAGACTCTCAAGTAGCTGGGACCACAGCCTCATGCCACCACACCCAACTAAGTTTATTATTATTTGTATAGATGAGGTCTTGCTATGTTGTTCAAGCTGGTCTCAACTCCTAGGCTCAAGCAGTACCCCCACTTCGGCCTCCCAGAGTGCTGGGATTACAAACATGGTATGCTGAGCATTTCAAATTTCAAATTATTTTATTTTATTATTATTTTTTTGAGCCAGAGTCTCGCTCTGTCACTTGGGCTGGAGTGCAATGGCACAACCTCGGCCCACTGCAACCTCCCTGTTGTGGGTTTAAGCAATTTTCGTGCCTCAACCTCCTAAGTAGCTCGGATTACAGGCGTCCATCACCATGCCCAGCTAATTTTTGTGTTTTTGGTAGAGATAAAGTTTCACCATGTTGACCAGGGTGGTCTCAGACTCATGACCTCAAGTGATCTACCCGCCTTGGCCTCCCAAAGGGCTGGGATTACAGGTGTGAGCCGCCATGCCTGGCCTATTTTATTTTATAGAGACAGTCTTTATTTATAGAGACAGTCTTACTTTGTTGCCCAGGTTGATCTTGAACTCCTGGGCTCAAGCAGTCCTCCCTCCTTGGTCTCCCAAAATGCTGGGATTACAGGTATGAGCCACCATGCCAGGCCCATTGTTATTCTTTTAATGAGCTTTTTCCTGAGCCCCTACTATGTGCCTGGCTGGACATGAAACCCCTCCCAAGGAAATAGAGTTCATCTGATGCTGATAATGACCTTCATTTTAGTAATGAGAACTCTGAGGTCCAGAGAAGTTAAGACTTTTGTGGAGGAGCACAAGCTGGCCCAGGTCCCCCCACACTTTAGTGCCCTGTGACTGCTGGGGGCTTCCTGGTTGGACGGGCAGGGGAGAGCTGGCGATTTGGCATGTTGGGACAGGGGGAAGAGCAGGCAGAAGGGTGTTCCCGGCCGAGGGCACACTTAGTGAAATCCAGGAGTGTGGACTTTGATGCCGGGTAAGGCTGGGGCAGCAAAGGGCCCAGAAAGTGCCACTGGCTGCAGTCAAAGTGGGCTGAGCAAGGTGTTCTCTGTTTCTGAGGCTGACCTCTGTGAACTCTGAGAGAGAGAGAGAAAGACAAGGGATGTTGGTGTGCGCTCGTGTGCATGTGTGCACAACTGTGTGGTCTGGCAGGCTTGTGAGATGGTGCCCATGTACAAGCAGCTCTGTTGTGTGTGCGGTGCTGCTTGGAGGCCATGGGCCTGGGCTTTTGGGTGTGTGTGAGTGTGTGTGTTTCCACTGGTGGAAAATGGGTGTATCCCTAGGCAGGAGCTGGGAATGTCTGTGGGCCCGAGGTCCAGGGAGAGCAAGCCTACAGCTGTAAGTGGCCAGACCACGTGAGAGGGGTCTGGGAGCCTTTGCGTCTGTGTGCCTGCGCTTCAGAGTGTCTGCATGAGTGGAGGAGTGTATGCACACCTGTGTATGCAGTCATGCACATGCATGTGTGTGTATATGCATGCATATATGCTTATGTGTATGTAAGCGAATGTGCTGCTTGTGTCTGCTCTGTGTGTCTGCTTGTGTCTGCATTTGCCTGAGTGTGCAT